TTTTTTTTTTTTACAAGTGTTGAGCATCAATTGTGTAACTGTGTCAGGGGATGGCACAAATGGTTTAAATATATAATCTGATTTTGTATATGTAAATGTTATTTTGTATGTGTAACAACAAATTTTATGAAAAAACATAAAACTTTTTGTACAACTTGATTTATATTTCGATCAAACGATATGCGGGTACAATCTCTATTTATATCCTCTGATTCTTCTCTTCATTAATTTGGGCTTGAGACCTTGAAAGATGGATTTGACGATTGAACCTCCTTTGGGCTTGGTCTGAATTTCTCTAGCATTAACTTGGGGGTCGAATGACTTATTCCCGCATTAAATGTTAGACCTTGACTTGATTAAAGACAACTTCTTGGAGAACTTGTTTCTTTGATCTTCTGGAAAGATAGACTTTGACTTGAATAACGTTGACTCGAGGGCTTGATAGCTTTTTCCCGGATCAAACGTTATGTTGCTGGAACTTCTCGATGAACGCGGCTTGATGTCGCTTGCTTAGATTGATTTGAGAGCAGTTGATGTCGCCTCTTTATTTCTTGGGGAAGAGAATCCGCCTCCTTTTCTTCTTCTTCTTGGCCTTCTTCTTCATTGAACGGACTTCGGGCGGTTTTTCAAGAACTTCTTCAAATCTTCGAGAGGATTCTTCGAGAGGATTCTTGAGATGTGTTTGAGATGTTTGAGGTGTTTGAGGTGTGTAGGAGAGAGCCCTATTTATAGGTGTAGGAGAGAGAAACTTGGAAAAGAAGACATCAATTTGATTGGTCTTCTTGATTTGATATAATCTCTTCCCTTATCCTAAGATTTGATATAATCTCTTTCCTTATCCTAAGATTTGACTTGGTGGGCAAGAAACAATTACTTTATTAATTAAATATCTTATTTATTTTAGATTTATGTCCCAAAAATAAATAAACACATTAATTAATAAAATATTAAAATTTTGATGTCTACAACGGGATGTTTATTTTTGTGGGAGATGATGCTGAATGGTTATGCTTGTGATGTTTCTTTCTGTAATAGGTGTCGGATGAAGGTGATGTTTTGTATGTTTTCCCCAAGGATTATAGATCAAAACTTGCTGCTAAATCGTTTGGGATAAAGATTGAACCTTTGTTGGAGAAGGGGAAGGTACTGATTATATACTTTGATAATACTTTTACTAGTGGACTTTTGCTTGTTTTAAACTGTTATATTTAAATTCAAGTGAATTTTGGTTGACAGATGGCGGCGGAGTATTTGGTTAGAGTTTCATTCGGGACAGCACTTATTGCATCTATTGTTCTTGTTTATGCCACGATTATTGCCATATCCTCGAGTAGTCGGTATATGCCTCTACATTT